CAAATAGAATATCACGTTCCAGAGAGAAAACGAAACTGCATTTAACGGGATAGGTGATTCCATTCCATGTTTCATGACTGGAAACTTCATCTAATCTTACATTCCCCAATGTTTGGATGCTGAGTTCTTGCAACGCCGCCGCGATATCGCGGGCTGCGGCGGCTGGCGCGGCGACCTAGCCACTGCCACGATTGAATCGTCACGCACCCGTTTTTCTTATCCACCCCACTCCCTCATTGTTCATTTTCAGCAGCTCATCGGAATCGACCCCCGAAACCACTCATTTTACACTTCAGCCGCCCATGAGCCTTCGAAAACTCAATTTCTGTGAACCCCTAAAAAGTTGCCCTTTTTCACGTAAAATCTTATCAAACGCATTACCAGGACATGCGTAGCCGGTTTTGAACGTGAGGAAGACAATTAGCAATTAGCGAGCCCACTACTTGTCGATTAACGATGAACTCGCAAAGGCCAAACATTCGTTTCATGGTCAGGTGATTTTTTGCAAGGAAGGCCAATGTGAAAATGAAGCACATAAATAAACGAACAAATAAATGAACAATTAAGTGTAACTCAAACGGAAGTAAAAACATGTACAAATCTGAATATGTTCGTGAACATACTTGAGATGACCGTAACGGCCGTCGATCCCATACAGAACATTGCTCAGTTTTATCCAGTGGCCGACCCAGCACTCGCTCGCACACATACGATAGGCCTCGATTCACTGTTCGCTGGAGAACCGACTCGCCTTGTGGACTTTTTGGTTGAGGTGCTATCGGATCGGCAATATCTAAGAAGAGAATTTCAGTGCAAAATTAGCCCATGCGAGAAGGCTAAAGAATGACCCAGAAAGAAAATTCAAAATAGGCCTAGGCGAGGAAGAAGCTAAGCGAAAAAGAAGGTATCCGAAATCAGGAGACTTGGAGGGTATATGTAGGGGATGTAGATCCTAATACGGAGAATAAGTTTTTAACAATTTTCTGAAAATGGTCTGAATATGAATGGAAATTTTCCATAAACAGGCAACCACCAACTCTTAGGGTTGTAACGCTGTTCTGGGAAATTCTGTAGTCCACTAACAATAGAAATCATCTGAAGGCTTACTTTCCGTCTCATCTTCTTCATTGGTCTCCTGCTGCTCTTTCTCATCAGAGTTCGTAACTGGAGGTAGCACTTCAGTCAAAATCTCTTCACAATTTTTCAACTTTTCTGTTCGCTCCAGGAGCTGAAAGACAAAATGCGCTGAAACTACAAAGACAAAATGGTTATTACATAGAACGAACGTCAACAAAAGTTGACAAGATCGAGATAGAAAGGTTAATCAACAGCACAGGACGCACGATCAAGATTTTTGCTTCAAAAAAACAGCATCCAAACAAAGCGCAAATTACAATGCTACGCTTACTTCAGCAAATAATTTTCCAACGCAGATGACGTTCTCCGGCTCGAACAACGCACGACAGTGCGGAACCGCGGCCCGCATCTGCACGAGATCTTCATTGAACTGGAATCCTGCAATACCATTCAAGAAATTAAATAATGAGCCATACAAATGCTACTCCAAAAAATAAAGTGACACCCTCAACAACATTTAAAGAATTGGCATGTAAAGCATCACTGAACAGTTCTTTAACCGTTACAAGTTCAGCAAATCTTAACGTTGAGCAACAGCAGACTCAGCTCAATACTCAAAATACAACCCTCAAGACAATTCATGGGCTTGGGCAGAGAAAAAGGGAGCCTGCGGTGCAACAGTTCTTGCCGCCTGTAGTAATCCCTTTTTGAAAGGCAGCAAGCCCCAGGAGTGCATGAACTAATGCGCTTTCGCTCTCACAACGCCCCTGAGCTACCTCTCCTGCGATACTAAACCAAAATAATGACTAATAATGGTTCCTAAAAAACCTGAAACAACCCCACTCACCTAATTTCAAAATTGATTTGTCGAGAAACAACATCGCGAAAAATTCTCGCAACGCACTTGCAGGAAGTTCTGAGCGATTGTCGAGATCGATAATGAATATACGGTCACGAAGTGACAGCTGTAAAATAGTCGCCCTGAAAAGTAGTGACTGGATGGGGCTATACTAGTAGAATAATGAAAGAAGCAGTCCCAATCAAATCCCTTCCGAAAAGATTCTCCTTTTAAATAATAAATTCACAAGCGCACTGATTATTTGTGAGCGTCGCACTGCCGCCACCCCAGGGGTCCTGGCAAAATGTGTCCTGGCTCACAAGAGAAGTCAGCCACTGCTGCAGCCTTCCCTTTTTCCCTCAATTTTTGATTTCAGCTTATGTTTCTGGTTGTTCGACGAAAGACAGGAATACAGGGACGCAAATAGACCAAAAATGCGTAGTCAGGGGTCTGATTGATGTGTTGGTGAATAGTGCTTCCAGTGCTCAACCAGACCTCTTCCCTTGTCCGTGATCGCTCTACCCATCCTAGCAGGGGCCGCATCCTACAGTTCCTGAGCCTAGGGAAAGGTAGAGACGAGGAGAAACGACGCGTGACTTTTCGGAGCAACCCGGGGTGAGGGAAATTAAGAGTTGAGTGGTCTGATCGTGAGTGCACCGGTATCAGAAGACGTAGCAACAATCCGCGGAATGGGTCCCTATATTAAGGATTCCACCCCTACCAATGGAGAGCTATCTCCGGTCGGGGCGTGCTGCCTACCGACCCGAGGGACTTCTTGGAAATTCTGCCTCGCGCGGTTCGAAAGGCCAGATTAGCAACCACAAATTTTGCCAGCGCGGCGTACTCCCCCAAGTTTCAAATCTGTTTGAACGCAAAAACAGAAATCAAACTATAGAAACGAACCTGCTATTAGCAACATACGCGCTCCACTCCGCATCAAGACCCACAATTACTGTAGAAAGTGGATCCTTGTTTTTCAATCGATTTAGTTCCTCACTAAGTACGTGCAAATCGGCTGCAGTACGCACAAAAGCAATATTCTATAATAGATTGAAAAGCTATACATTTTGGAACATGTTTCAAGTAAATTCACAAGAATCCTATTGTTGAAACTGTCAGACTGACTCACTTTAACGTCATTATGAAAATTCAAATAGTCCTCGGTTGGCAACAGCGGGTCACGATACAATTCATTTCTGCAATTTGCGTATTAAAAAGGACATCCATAAAGAGAAGTTTGTTCAAAGTGGAAAAGAGCAAGTCACTGTCAGAGCAAAAAGAGAGAATGTCAATAACTCCAATACGGTATGCTTGGCGAAAAACTCCTTGACTAATTCATTAGCACTCGCTTACCTACCTGTTCTGCACAGTTGTTCTGTGCATCAGCGCAGGCTGCATGCGACGCCAATATCGTGCAGCACCATAGTCGTGAAAATCCTTCTCGAGTAAATCACAAATAAACCTAGAAATTTCGGTAAGAAACCGATCGCATAACAAAAAAAAACTATAAATAAGAGAAATGCTACGCGAAACCAAATAAAACCTATCGAGAACAGTACGAACTTTTTCAAATTTGGACGTTGGCACATTATCGTCCATATCAACTCATATAGATTTTCTTCTTTCCATGTCTAGAAGTATGAAAAAATTAATTAAATGAGAAGACTTAGACATCAAGAAATCATTGCCAAGTGCAAAATAGAGAGTAGCTGTAAAAAAGTCTCTTGTGAGGAAAGTGTCTCTTGGCTAAATCAACGCACCTTTTCAACGTAAGTCTTCTTAGCAAACTTTTTCAAAGCAGCGCAGGCCCATCCCATTGGGATAGTCGCATCGGCCCGAGACTCTGCAATCGATGATACTTGTTGAAAGACCATCGCAAAACAAACGCACAAGAAATTAGACCAGGGCTCCAACCCCGGAACACTGCATTTTTGATTCTAGCTCTGGTGGGGAACGAATCGACCAGCCACGCGCGATCGCCGGGTCGGGGGCTACGATCACAGCCTCTGGTTGTTTATTGCTTGAAATCCCGGCTATCACAGGTTGTCGGGTATCAATTCAAGTATAGGTGGTCTTCGTACTTCGCATCACTGCAGGTAGGGCAGATGACGCGGATAAGGCATCTTTCATGAACCACGCAAACATCTGATGCATGGGATGTGCTAGAAGGACCAGATGCGCGTAACGATCGCAGACCATTAGATATACACAATTCGATGGGACGATCGGACCAGATAGATGTGTAAGCTATGCACTTAGCTCCACAATCGCTACGATCAGGCTATCGACCATGAACAAGCCCTAACAATCGTTACGTTCGTAAACGCCCAAGTCGCGCAGAGTAGGCGACGTAGCATTGGCCGTGTGCCATCGTTATTGCTCTATTTCAGAACACTATGCCAAAAAAATTCATTAACTAGTACTCCTAATAACATGACAGCAAGAACCTTGTCAATGCGGTGCGATTCTTATATATTACATTCAGCATAAACGCCAACACGCCGAATGGTCAAATCGCACAAGTCGCGAACTATGAACGGGGCCTAAGTCACGTTTCATAGCCACGCGTCGCATATTAGAATCATAGTCTGCGGTTCGAGTGTGGAGTAGATTTCTCAAGCATGCAATTCTGGGATCGCACGACCACACGACCGCAGGGGTGATGATGACTACTCCACGAAATAACGCAAGATCGCAAAGTATAACCCGACTTTAGGATTAGCTGACACTCGCATAGGGCTCTGCTACCTATTTCGACCGCCTGTGCAAATTTTGCAGCGTTTTTTGCACTGTGCGCACAATGGGCACGTGCTTAGTAGGTCGTCCGATCGTAACTGTCGCACAGTGTTAGATAAGTATCGATCGTCGAATACTCACACAAGCCGACGATCGATACGCATCCAATGCTGTACGACCGTTACTTACGGATTGACAAATGGGAACGCATCGTTTTGTACTCCTACTGACTAGTAAAGGGCGCCATTCGTTACGGGTCCCACTGCCTCCTGCTACAGTGAACCCTTCAATGTGGAGCGGGGAATCCGTGAGCCAGGGGCAGTGTCGCCAGTCTAGGGGGGTGGGGGGTGAGGGCAGTCACTTGACATGCGTGAGAAGCTGGAATGTTCGAATTCAACCGCGATCGCTTGGGATCCCCGCGGGTTAAGGCAGTGGGTCCCGCAACGAATGGCGCCCTATACTAGTCAGTAGGAGTACAAAATGATTACTCCATGGGCGCACGCATAGTCGGTCGTCCGACAGCAACGATCGCAACTGTCTGACTGTCTGACTGCATCTAATCGTCGAATACTCAGGCAAGTCCGACGATCGATACGCATCCAATGCTGTGCGACAGTTACTACCGGATGACCGACTATGCATGCGCCCTATCCACCAACACAGCCACCTTCATGTAAACCCACATGTATTCGTTCACTAACTAACCTCCTTTCAAGTCCCTCATTAAGATCTGAGTATTACGACGGAAATCGGAATAACTGCATAATTCTGAATTGTCTTCACTGATGTTTGAAGGTTTTCGTGCCCTACAACGTCACAATTATAACAGCAGTAATCAAAGCTTTTATGAAAAAAAAAACGGAATCGGTGACAGAAACCTACAGAAACTCTTCAGGTGACCTCATGGCAACTTCTGCTTCATTCAGTACAGCACGACATTTCTTCCGAAATTCCTCACTTCTGCCCGACGCAAAGGCCTAGAGAATCCAATAGAAAAATTTCACCCTGTTTTTCTTGACAATTTCATTTTGTCAATACACGCATTATTTCCAATAAATCGATTGATATTCAATTCGTAGAAACACTCAAAAAGACTTTTGGACAACTTCCATCGAATATCTAGATAGTACATTGTTTAAGAAAATAGGTAGGTAGATAATTCCAAAAAGGGTATGGAGACCAATTTGCAAAAACCACTTTCAGAAATGACATTTTCCTAATAATCTTCAATCGATCTCACAGATCACAGAAACAATTCCTAATCTCACCATTTCAAATTTTGATTC